TTTATAATGATTATTTCTTGATATATGCGATGTGTTATTTGGTGAAATATTCTTTCACTCCAAAAATCGATACTTTTGTTATTGATATCTGTCAACATGCTGTAGATATCTTGTCGGTAAAAATCTGACCATATGTCAACTTGACCATCATTGAATTTCATTGGTCTTCCATTAAAATTATCTACGTAAAAAATAAAATTTTTAATAGATCTTTTTGCTACGCATATATTTTTATTTCTACTTTTGAATTTACGAATCATGTAATCTTGATAATTAAAAAAGTTAGTAATTTATTTAATTAATATTTTACGAGTATTTTTTTTTGTCTGTACCTGTAGCTTCATTGATAATTTCTTCAATCTTTAAATTATTTAAAGAATACATATTTAATTTTAAATATTTTAAAATATAGTTTATTTATATTTTTTATAAAGATACAAAATTAAAACATTAAATTGAAAACAAGTTATTTTAATTTCGTCCATGATCAGCTATTTTATAGTGTTACACTAAATTAAACCAATCATGGACGAAACTAAAATAATGATCTTCTTAATTATTTAATAAAATATACGTATAAATATTTATTATAAACAATAAACAAATATAAAAAAAAAGTAATTGTAATCCGTAAAAAAAACATTTGATTATATCATTTTAATCTAATTCGATAATTTCAGGAAGTTCTATTTCATTATCAGAAATTTCAATGATAACATTATCAGATGAAAATTTATCATCTAAAGAAAACCCAAGTTTTTTAAACGAATTTTGTTGGGAGAATTCTTTGACAAATTCAGAATAAATATTTTTATATTTTGTATCAAGAAATTTATGAAATTCAGAAAAGTAACAATTTCTTTCTTTAATTTCTAATTCGAGTTCTTCTTTTTTCTTTTTTAAATCTTCATTTTTTTTCTTGAAAGCAAGTCTTTCTTCTTTTAATTCTTTCATAAATTCTTTTAATTCTTGATTATGTTTTATTAATCTTTCAATTTTTAATTGAAGATTTCGTTTAGAAATTTTTTTATTCATTATAGATTTTAAAATTTTTTTTATGATTTATGTTATTAGACATTTTTTGGGATTTAATAAATAGATAAAAAAATAAAGAAATAGTAGAATTGAATTTAATTTATAGGAAAATAAAATCATTGAAAAAAAATTATCAATTATAAATTCAAATTATATTGAATAATAAATTTATAAGAAAATATTAAAAATTTTTTTTATTATTAATTTAAATAATATATAAATGATTGTTTTTATTTTTGAATTAAATATGAAAAAAATGTCTTTATCTATTGTTTTTCCTGGTATTGATAAAACGTTTGATCAATTTGTTGAAGAATTGTTACAAGATAATTTCAATACTTATTTGACAACAAATACTGAGAGTTTTAAATTTACAAAAGAAAAAGTTTTTAAATATTTTGTATACGAGTTTTTGTCAAAAAATGGTATTGATGTAGAAATGAATATGAAATCTATTTCATTTATTAAGAATATTTTCCTTCCTGTTTTTGATGGAAATATTGATATTCATGGTAAGAATAGTCAGATTTAATTTTTAATCATAAATATTAATTTATGATGATATAATATATGTTTATATATTTATTAGGTCAATATAGAATTTTAAATTATTTTTGTCAATGTAAATACAAGAATATAAATCATAAAATTCAATTAAAGGAGATGCGAGAATTTTTAAATTTGGTAGAGAAAAAAATTCATCAATTCGGGTTTTTAGTATCTAACGTAGAATTAAGTGATGATGCTTTGAAAGAATTAAATGCATCTTCTGTTAAAGATAGGGCATGTGTTTGTTATGATTACGAGATTGTCGAAAGAATTAAGGAATATGCAGTTTTTATTGATTATAAGAATCAAAAGAAAGAATTAGATGAGAAAGAATTTAAAATCAAATATATTAAATTAGAAAAAGAAAATGAAATGTTAAAAATTTTCAATGATAAATATGAGAAACATATTGAAAAATTTGAAAAATTTACAGAGTTTATAGAAAAATATATTTTAAAGGATAACGTAGATATCGAAAATTAAATCATGTGAATTATCATTAAATATTTTTTTATGAGATTATATGAAATTATTTCGAGATTAATAATTGATTTTACTTATAAAAATACAAAAATTTATTTCAAAAATAAAGTATATAAAACAAAATGCCAAATTGGAATTTAGATATTGTTTGTCCTGAATGTAAAGGCAAAAAGAGTCCTGTATTTACGATTTGTAAATGGTGTATGAAATATGATATATGTTTTTGCGGAGT